TATTTAACCACTTCTTTATTTAAAATGAGTTTTACCCTATTTTTTGAAAAGTAAATTTTCTTATTTAAAAAATTACTATCAGTTCTATGGATAAAAATTTCATGACATCAGAATAAAAGGTCTTTACTTGGTTCACTACAGCCTCTGCCACTCCCCAGCATTTCCTCTAACAACTTTAGATTAATTTAAAGTTCTGTAACAGGAGAAATTTGGTGGGTTTTCCTCGCTAAGGTTAGTTTGAAAAAGGACAAAAGAAGTGTCACTCCTCAGTGAGTGGATCTGGCAGTGATGTTGAGAGAAAAGGCTATGGGGAACGCCTGCTTGGGAGGCATGTCTAATGATTTCACTCAAAGAAAATTAAGCTTTGGATCCCCCCATGACACTGCATCACACTGTGCATTAATGTTGAATAGCATCAGGAATATTTCTGAAAGGTTCTCAAAACAACAAAATCTGTGTTTCGCTCTTTGGCTCCACAGGAAACTCTGAGTCATAGGCCATGAAAACACTTATGCAAAACTAGCTGCACAAGGAATTACTCCAAAGAATTTGTCATTATTAAAACAACTACAAAACAAACTTAAACGTTACAACTGTGCCTTTCCAGAAGCTTTAACCTGACAAAACAAATTAAAACCAAAACAAAACAGGAAAACCTGCACCACACCCTCCCATGCCTTAAAGCAATAAGACTGCAAATTCATACATGCAAACCAGGAAACTCAAATGTTCTATTTCCAGAAAATATTTTTAGAACAAGTAATAGAGCAGACATAGATAGTAGATTAACTTTTGCATTGCCAATTTTGTTCTTATAAGGCAAAATTTCCAGAAACAAAAATGCACCCATAAAAGGTAAGCTTTTTGTTCACAAAAGCACAATGAATAATAGGTCTGATTCCCAGAAAGTGCTGAGCTCCTATCCTCAAAAGTGTGGCTCACGTGGAGCATGACAAATTGGGGACCTCACATTTATTTGTAATTTAGTAAATGTTGGATGCAGGTCTATTGCAGGGATATGGGCTGTTGCACTGAAACCCTCTAAATGAAGAAGACAGAGAAGGAGACAAAGATGAAGATGATAACTAAGATGGAAAAAAAAAGTTATATAGTGACCGAAATCCCTGACTACTGCTTGACAAAAGGACAACTCTGAAATTTTAAATTTAGCTATGCAGAGGACAGAGAAGTAAAGAAACTATTATGTAGTACCACAAAAAATTTTTAAAGTTACATAATTTCCAACACCACCACAGGCTACTATGCAGTCAAATAAAGAAAAAGAACATTTTATATAAAAGCAGAAAGTATGTTTTGCCTTCCCTTGTGTTATATGAATGACCTACTGAAGCTTGGCTTGACTTTAGCACATGAAGCAATTTCAATAGTGTCAGAGCATGAGTGCAGAAAATGCCAACAGGTAATGGTGCTGTTTCCTCATGTCTTTTTACAAGCTTACTTAGTAGCAAATATAATTCAGCTCAAAGCTAGAGGAAGCTGAAGAATTATGATCAATCACCTCTTCTAAGTACTCTGAAAAACACCCAAACTAATTAACACCATCCTAAAAGAAAAGATTTAAAAATTTCCACAAAGAAAATGATTAGAATTTTTCTCTGTCTGACATCTCTCCCCCTCATTCCACCCAGTAGCTGACAGATGATACAGAAGCAGTGGGCCACAGCAGGAGGCAAAGCTGCTGTATTGTTAACTCAAGTTATTTCCTGGCCAGAGGATGAATCATACAGGATTGAGAGTCATGCCAAACACAAATGTACTGGGTGGGCTACTAATTCAAACATTAGCCCATGAACTTCAGAGAGAGACCTTGAAGTCCCTTCAGCAAAATACACTAAAAGCACGAGACAAGTCATCTCTATGGGATCTGAAATCTAAACATGAAATCCACAGATTCCATGCAAGTTCCTTGAAGCCCTGAATGCAAATCACTGCTGAAATTCTTCACTCCCCCCCAGACACCAGGATGAAGACAGCAATGAACAGTAGCTGCTCAAGGGACAGTGTGCCCTTGCTGCCTTTATTAGTTATTCTCCACACGGTTTAATTAAATATCCTTGCAGGAGAGTTCTCCTGTGTGTGGAATTTGACCTTCTGAGTACAAAGAAAGGACAGGCATGTTTCCTGCTAGCTGGGATGGTACTAACCCACAAATCAGTGGGTGGAAGTGACATAAATTTGACCACAGATTTCACAGGAATTTCTCAATTGTACTGGAAAAGGCAGGGACAAAGTTAGCTTTTCTCTTCCTTCCAACCCAAAAGTGTGCTGCCAGATAAGTGCAACTACACCAAGTAAGGAGCTGAGACCATGATGTTCTCCTAAAGGTAAGGTTATGGAGCAGGTAGCTACAGACCTAGTAAACCTCTGAGGAAGTCTGTGCCTTGTGGAGAGCACATTTTCTACCCCAAGGGAGTGGCATAATGATTTGTTTTCTGACTTTAATGTAACCTTCTGCACTGCTACCTAAATGCCATCTTTTTCTACTGCTATGGCAAGTAAACCTCTGCTTTAGAGCTTCTCTCAAATAGCAGCTCAAAAACAGATATTGTGGATAAAGGCAGAAATACAAGCCCTACAGTTACAATTGGTGATAGTGGGAGAGACTGGAGGGAAATTAAAGATGTCCAAAGGACAGCAAAACTGACAGGTTTCTGGAAAAGAAGCCACAAGAAGTTTGGAAGGACAGAAAATCAGCCTAGAGACCACACTTGCTGGTACATTCACCCTGAGGTTTGGAAGTGCTTCAAACCTCTGACTAGGGGAGAAAGGGACCCCCCAGCTGCAAAGTCCATGGACATTCCCTGAAGAAAAAGGTAGATTCTTACATCTGGAGGAAGCAAAACTAGCCCATGATTTGCAAACTTAGCTCAACCTGCCTGCAGGAAATGCTGAAGGTTATTTTGTTCCTGACAATGCAGAAAAGTTTGTTCCCAACAAGAGGGCTGCAAGAAAGCAAACACTGAAAAGGAAACTGAGGAAACTTGCTGGACCCACAGGCAAGATGCCTGATCAGCATATGAAGAACAACATGCCATGAGAACTGGCCATGGGAGGAGAGGATGAGAGGGAGGGACAACACTGGTGGCCCCAGAACACAATCCCACTGGGAGAGGCAGCATTACAGTGCTCAGGAGCAGGGGGGCACAGCCTTTGGAAGTGCTGACTGTGCAGCAGCAAGGGGCAAGAGCCACACAAACAATGAACAAGGAATATTAATGGTATGCTTGCATTTCTCTCTTCCACTGTAGGGATAAGACACATTTTCACAATCTGATACTTAATACTTAATTTTTGAAACTTGAAACTTACTGGGATTTTTATGAAGTCAGTGTTTTCAGAAAGTACGTATCAATTACCCCAATTATATATTGTATCTACTTTAATTAATTAAAGTTCAGCCTACCTCTTCTTCATCTGTTTGAGATTTTTCTAAAGGCTGAAGTTCAACAACTCTCCAGCTAGAAATGAGACAAAGAAAATCAAATTCAGTTTAAGGTGCTGATAACAGGTTGCTGAAATTTATATTTTCCTTTCCAAACAAGGTATCTAACCTTTACTTTTCCTAAAACAGTCTTTAAGATATCCAATACAGTTGTAATAATACTTTTCAACTTAAAAGACAATAAAAGAGCAAATACATATTATGGATTTAAAGTACAGAACAAGTACATTTACCACTTCAGGCAACATTGCTACTAAGACACTGGAGTAAGCAGAGGAGACCAATCACCCTGTTTTTGAAATCTAAAGATGTTCTCTTTCTAAAGCCAAGGAGAAAAAGGTCTCTAGATTCATGGATTGAAGGCCTACACTGTATGGAAAGAAATAAGCTTATTCCACTGTATCAGAACAGCTAAATTTAAAAAATAAAAGCCAAATACATTTCTGTTAATTCACAGAAAATAGTTCACTACTTTCTTGTGAACACACAAAAAAAGACAGCCATCTCCAAAAACCCGTTCAGAGCTTGTCAGCCTTATTTTATTATTATTATTATTATTATTAAATTAAAAGTTATTAAAGGCCATAACTACTACAAAGATTATAGAAATCCACTTCTATTTTTAGCAGCTTGTGCATCTCCCACATCCCTGTGTATACCAGACTATTTCTCCTGTGCTATCAGCTGTCCAGTCTTCCCACCACTTCAGTCACATGAACTGAAATGCACAGATAAAAACCCAAGTGCATGAGAAGATCATCTTTAATATTACAACATTTTCTAACTCTGTGTAACTTATATTCTTAATTAATGTTCTCATGTTCATTTTCATGTCTTTGCAATGGAAGAGGTTGTGAACAAACCTTGGAGTAAGGATTTCTTTGTACTGTAGTTTCTCCAGCTTTGATGGTGCCACCAGTGACATGGGAATAACAATGTTGTCTATATCATAGGAGCTCTCACTTCTCAACCTCCTCCTGGAGTTATGCTGAGTAACAGAATCAACACCAGAGCATGTCAGCTCAAATCACAGGAAATACATGCTAGCAGAGAAACATTAGAACTTCCCAAGGAGAAAACCTGAACTTTAATGGAAACAGAGTATTCTGAAATGCTCATTTATGTGCTCTTTGAGGATGATCAACTCAGGGGTGTGAAAAACCAGGTTCACTTTTCTGGTAAAATTTAAAAAGTTTAATAAAAGACAATAAGAAGACAAAGATAATAAAGCAAAGGGTTAACAGCTGAGTGTTTGGCATTCAGCCAAGAGCACTGCGAGTATCTCTGGAGTCACTTTTTAAATACTTTTTTTATTCTATCAGCCTGTTGTGTATTTATAAACTATTATGCATATTTAAATATTTTTTACAAACTAGTTTACATACTCTAGGAACTGTTTAGTGTAGCTGGTCTTTAGGCTTTTTTTTAGAGCTCGCATGTTTTTTGGCTGTGGTTTTAGTTTATTCTTATTATTACCTTCAGTTTGGGCCTTGGTTTATATTTTTTTTAGATGGCAGGTGCTGATACTTGGCATATTAGTAGTAGGGTTTTTATCACATGTTTTCTGGATGTTATTCTAACTAAACAGGCAGTTCAATTCTAAGTATAACTATATATTAGCTATTTCACTACTATGTTTAAGTTTTGTTAATAGCAGAAAAAACCCCTGTATTTTTATAGTAAACTTATTTTAACATTATACATATAGCATTTATTTTAATATTTGCAAAAAGCTGATTTTATTATAACATATTTTATAATATGTATTTATAACAAGGGATAATAAATAAATTTATAATAAAGGAATGTGTGTTGTCTAAACTCTGTGGGACACACATTTAAACTCAACTCTGCATTAAAGCATGACAAATTACAGAGCACCATAGACCACTATATCACATATCCCATATACCACTAGGCTTAGCAAAACCATGGCACCTGAATCTGAATATTGTTGTGAATTTTCCATTAATTCCAGTAAAACAGTGTGTTTCTGTACACTGAGCTAAAGTTCTGCTGCTCCTCAGCAAATTATATAACCAGGGACTTTGACTATATTTCTGCATAAATAGGGAAACTGAGAGTTAACAAATTTTCTGACTCTATTTGCACCATGAGGCCATTTTATATAGCTGCACCAAGAAAAAGGGTTGTAAGTTCCCCAGTGCAAAACTGGTAACATAAATCACAGTGCATTTAATGAAACTTAGAAAAAAAAGAAGGCACAATGCCAATAAATCAAACTTACACTCCAGTTATATGATCTGCAAAATTCTTTTACAAGCAAGTATCTGTTTTAGAAACACCATATACTCAATCTGGAATACATTAGTTAATGCAATCCACTTCATTCACTGTAAAAATGCTCTGCACTGTCATAGGACACTGTGACAGAGGTAAAAGGCATATGGCCTTGGATTATTAATTTGCATGACTCTGTGTTGATATTTCCTGGGGACAGTGACACATTTTTGGTTTACCTGTGATGAAGAGCTGTGGCTGGGCCGAGACATGGCACTGACACTGCTCGTGGGAGTAAAGCTGTTGTGGGACTCGGGCTCTGCATGTTGGAAGGAGAATGTCTCAAACTGAGCACTGCTTTCACCTGTCATAAAATATAGCAATAAACAAGACATACTGGCTGTTGGTTATTAGACTGCAGAAATTTTTCCACACACTAATAGTAAAGTCATTTCTAGAAGCCCACAGTGAGCCACTTAAAATTTACTGGATACTAAAAAAAGCCATCTAAATAAACAGTTGCTATTCATCCTGTCATTATTGTTTCACAAAACTCATCTCTCTTATTCTATGAAGGATTACTTCTCATGGAATCAGCTTTATATGGGGAAATCCTGACTTTTTTTTCAGGAGTTGTCATAGACTACACACACAGCAAATGCAATCTGTCTTAGATTCCCCCTGTTCCCCAGCAGCACTTCTCTAGTTGGAGTGCATCTCACAAGTTCTCCCTGACTGTTTCTTCCTTAATAAATGATAAAACTGGTAGCAAGGGTAACAAACAAAATCAGTTTAGATCTCCAAACCAACAGCAGCTTCTTCTGATTCACTGCTCCAGACAAACTGTAATTCCTGTTTACCCCCATTCAGTCCCAGTATAAGCAACATTTAGTAGGATTCATAATTAAACCACCTGTTCTGCTTTCCTTCTACCTCATTTCCAGTAAGAAAGGAGAACTCAGACTTAATATACCAACGAATAAAACATGGAAAAAGAGGCAAGACTGATCCTAAAGACTCTATTGCACAAGCTGGGTCAAGGTCATGAACTACCATCTCCCAGGCAGTTCTGCAACTCCCTGGCACACAGCTTTTATTTTTGGCTTTGTTCATTAGGCTGATGGATAATTTCTCCTAGATAGAGCCCAAATTAGGAATAAATATGCAGTACTACACCCATAGCACTAATAAGCTAGAACTTGGGCTCCTACTCATGAATGCACCACAGAACAGTTTTCTGGCACTGGGATGATGCTCATGATAAAAGATTGCTTTATCTGTTCCATTTATAAAAACCAAAATACTATTGTCAGAAATCTAATGGTACCTTCAAAAGGTTTATAGCAAGATGTTTTCTCTCTTACTAGTGCTCCCAGGTAACTCCAGTGGTTGATCTCAGTGCTCATGACTACACTTAGTTAAACTGAGAAGCTGTCAGCATCTACTTCTTGGGGAGCAATAAGTGGTCAGGGGAGCAGGTGGCACAGAAAACAGGATCACTGGTGTGAAGGGGATTTTATTCTCTCCTAAAACTTTCTAATTATTTGGGTAGTCTTGCTTTGGGGTTGTGGATTATGGGTTTTGGGGTTTAATCCTAGATGATAATTTTTTATTAATTCATCCCTGCAGTAATTCCTGTATCTCCACCTCTAGTGAAAGATTACACTATCAGTTTCACCTGGATATGCACCAGCAGTTAATTTTTCTACAATGTTAACTGATCATTTATACCTTTTCATTCTTTCCTAAGGGAAATTTTAAACTAATATGGTTTCCCCTCTTGCTCATTGACTTGTTTTTCTCAAATTGAGAAGAATTTTGCCAAAGGTTTCCCAGAAGTTACATAAATGAACCTGTAACAGAATCTGTGAGGCTTTACATTCTAACAGCCTGGAGAGGTAAGGTGCCATTTGTGGCATACTGTATTTTTTATCTCTACATTATCACATTATTTTACAGAACTTTTAGGGCACTTCCTATTAATTTACCAGGTGCTGAAGTAGAGATTCATTTGCTTAAAATAAAAAGGTAACAAGGGTGAAAACACAGTAAGAACTGGCTATCCACAAATTCTCTAAGACACATATCCACAAATTCTAAGTCTGGAAGGAATCCAGGACCACAAATGACAGAACACAAGAAATAAAATACAGTGGACAAAGATGCCAGGAATAGTAAATGTTTCATTGGGCACATGACTTAACAGATAACTTTGCAATGTCTGTTTCACTGACTACTGTTAAAAAACCCTTTTGTATTAAAAATGACACCCAGTATTAGAAGACCACAGTTGAACTGCTGAGCAATTTCCTTTAAGAGTACTCCAAAAATAAAATACAACAGCATGTCTCATTCTGTATGTACACTTAAGAAGAAAGATGATTACTATGCTTTAAAATAGCAAATTATTTTCGTGGTGTTCTAAGTCCGTTTCTTCATAAATTTCATAACAGTATTCTTTTTGGAGACAACTTTTAATTCTCAGAGCCCAGAAATATTCATACAGTACATATTTTAAAAGGTGTACTGGCCTCTTGCAATGCTATTTTTCTCTTACCTACTGCTGTCTCACTTAGATGCCTTTTCTTTCTTCCTTCTGACAGCTGGTCAGGTGCTCCTAACACCAACTGAGATTTGGAATTAGACAAACAGCCACTGCTCCATTGTGTAACAGAAAAAACATGTATCAAGTTGAGAAATGACTTTTCATAGGTACAATTTACAGGAAATCTCAACTGCTGAACTATTTGTAACAGCCCCAAACTTCTGACAGGAATCCAAACAGTAACAGGACTGCAGTCAGGCACCTGGTCCAAACTCCCCTCACTTGTAGTCACCTCCTACAGCTCTGGTGGGATCACCTCAGTGATCAATTAAGGAGAACTTGACACTGTGGTGTGAGAAAAGATTCCTCTTCCACCTAAAGCCATTTTCAGTTACCTTCTCTGATAACCTGCTTTATGACAAGTTCATAAACTGAACCTCTTCACGGCAGAAAATAATGACAAATGAATGAAAAAATAGCCTTGCAAATACTAAAATATTTTGCTTTACATACCATTGTCAGCAGATACTTTAAACTCCCCTCCCAAAGATGAGGTATCAGCAGGTTCTCCTTTGATGTCATCCCTCCTCAATAATGTTTCAAAGTATATGTGAAGAGGAACATCTAATAAAAAAATAGAAATGCAAAGGAATAGCATCTGTATTAGAAAGATGGCAACCTCTGAGCCAATAAATTATGTATCATCACTAGGAATTGATTCACCCATCACATTCAATCTGTGAGCAATATTGCTAAGGACTGAAACAAGCTCTGGAGGGTATTGAGTAAGAATAAGATTGGGGTCTTTCCTCTTGACTAGCTCCTGCACAAAACCCAGCACAACAGAGACCACACATTGCACTTCTCCTGTAATGTGAAGAGGTTTTGGTTCAGCCTTTTGGGTACAAGTTATTAATGCTTTTGGAATTTGTTACTGCTGGGAACCTATAGGTATTTTTAAGGTACATTCCCTCTCTATTTTCCTGGAAAAGTCTACAGCAGGGCAATATAATTCATTTTCTGATAGGAGTTCTAATGCAGAATTAGCCTGCAAAACATTTAAAGTGGTAAGGAATCTACACCCTGTTGTAAGGCAGGAAGGCTTAAAACAAGAACTACCTCTCTCTGAAAAGCCTTTCTGGAAAAAAAAAATACAAGAATGAAGCAAAATTTAATTGGAAAAAAGTGCCAATGTCAATGTTTAGTGCCCCAAGGGTGGGCATTAAACTACATAAATTTATGCACAATCTTAGCCTCATGTGCCTTCAGGACATGCCAGGACAAAAACTTTCAACATATTTTGTTAATTAAAAAGAACAATTTTTTTCAATTTGATATGGATCTAATTTGATTGTTTTGTCACAACACCCTAAGGTTTTTGCTGTGTTTCCTACTCCCAAGTTAAACAAAGAAAGTCTGAAAGGTGTATTAGTCACAACATTTAAGTAAGGAGAGAACCAAAACATTTATCTTGTTGGTCTTTTGGGGTTTTTTTGAACTTGAGAAACCACCTGGGTGACTCAGATGTTTTATTATGTCATCCTGTATCTTAATCAAAAGGGCAGGAGTGCTTGTTTCAACCAATCCACAGCCTAGGTGCAGAAATACCAGAAACCCAAACTTCTTAGATACAAACTACAATTTTCCAGTTATCAAGGTGCAAGTTGAAAGAGGTGCTGTTATGTTCAAAAAAAAATCAAAATCCCAGAGTTCCAAAATGAAACAAATGCCAACAATGTATTTTTAACATACAGAGAAAATGAATGCAAAACCATTTTCTTTTACTCTGCTGACAATTTTTATATATAAAGATGTGGGCACAGCACAAGCAGCATTTTAAGAGAAGTTATTGCTCTGGAAGGGGATAACTAAGAAAGCTGCAAAGAAAACATGAAATTGAAGGAGGCTACACATTGGAGAATTTCTACCATGCATTTATTCACAGTAATACTTTCACATGAAAGAAAATGTCAAATAGACTAGTGTTCATGAGGAGGCAGAGACAGCAAAGTACACAAAGTAAAGCATGAATCTAGCTTCCCTCAAATGTGAGGGCTGCATTTGAGCAGGAGACAGTAGGTCTAGTACTTTTCCCTGTCTCAACTATTATCAGCAAGGCTCCTGGAAAAGAGAATATAAATATTCCTTAAGAAATATATTCTTGATACTGGAATGAAGCTAAAAACATTTTTTCCTTCTCCACCCTGGCAAAGTGTCCAACAGTAGCCACAGCACAGTCCAAAGCTTTTTAGGTTTTTTATGATGTCAAAGCTTTGTTTGAGAAAACAAAAGGTCAATGTTCTTCCTACACCACCCAGTCTCCCTTAAGAAGGAGGTAAGAATGAACACAAGGGACACAGCCTGCCCTTGAACAGATGTCTAAACCCTTGGGGTCCAGCTGCACTGTCACAGTCACAGGGGAAGTGACTGTGTAAAAGCAGAAAGATTTAGGTGATGTTTTTCTGTCCACAACAGAGTTCTGCTGACTGGGGTGTTTGCTGCTGCACTCTTGGAGTGAGTGTCCCATTTCTCCTATCTGCTCCTACAATAATCTCTTCAACCCAAAAATGGGAAGCAAACTGCCAGAGCTGAGGCTTTCTCTGGATTCCATGTCCAAACCTGGGTCTTCTCTACAGACCAGGGACAAGTTCTCCAAAACCAAGCATTAAGTTAATTCCTGACTTCCTAATACAAAGCTGCAGTGTCTACACTGTCATTCCAGGAAGACAATGAGTTTGATTAAAGATTTGAGCAGTTCCTTGGAAGTCTCAGCCTCATCTTTGGAATTATTCTGTGGCAAAGAAGCCCCCCAGAACTGCATAATTCCTGTACTGATCAATAACTACCTGGAAACAGGTTTTTCCTAAAACAAAAAAAAAAATCCCACAACAATTCAATCTCTTCTGCTGATAACAGCATTTAGGCTGTTATTCTGTCAAGTTTCACCTGCACTAATTTCAGGGCTGAGTCCCAGACAACTTCATCTACATCACTGTCCAAAAAGACTAAAGGATCAGATGACAAGAAACCATAAAACTTCCAAGATAATAAAAAGGGCTGACTATCACAAAAATAATTTGAAAACCTAAATAAAGCTTTTTAGACCTAGTCCAAAGGGCCTAAAGAGAAAGAAAGTCACTTATGAAAACAACACAACCATGTTATGGTAGCATGTTGGCAAATGGACTAACACTGACTCAATCAGACACACGATGAAACACCCAAGCACACCTTTTTTCATGACCAGTCTTTCCAGGCTGTAAGCACATTGCTGGTATGAGAAACCTAGAAGGTGTGTTTTTCAAAAGTCAGGATGAAGTCAGGATTTTCATTTAGTCTAAACTCATGTATTTTGACAGTGTGAAGTCTTCTGTTAAAAGAACTAAGTCTTAAAAATCATTGAAAAGACAAGTTAGTCACAACCTCTACAGCTGTCACAAGCACAACCACTCTGTTAAGAGTCCTGGCATTACTTACCTGAAGGAAATGATAAGACTGGATGGAAGGAAGAGTCCAGCTCTTGCACATAATCTAGGATTTTAGATTCTGTGCTGTACTCACTGCTACTGAAATTGGAGGCAGGCACCACACATGGCAACTGACTTTTATATGGAAAGGAGGAATCTCTAGATGGAAAAGTCTGCAAGAAAACACAGAAACAAAGGTTAACTTTTCCTTTACTCATGTCCTTCGAATTAGACCAGAAGAGGGAAAAAAAACCAACAAATCAACAACTCAGTGAGTGACATTTTAATATGTGAATGGGAAGAATATTCCAACAATCTCCACATAGTCTAAACACGACTTACCTTCACTTAATATGGACAGCACTGCACAATACAAAGAATACAAACTGCTCCTTCAATTAGGATCAGGAAACAGCTGACAAACCTTTCAGATAAAATGTTAACTGTTCTCAATCATTATTTTGATCTATCAGATGGCAAACAAACACCCCTTAAAATTTGATTCCAGGATATAAATGCATGATATAAATGCACAAACAAACCTAGCACCAGACTAAACAGAGGGGTCTCATTCATTTATCTCCTTAGTAAGATTCTTAGCATCAGTATCTCTAGGCACCTTGAGCACACACATTTCAATGCAAGAAACTATACTGAACGTTTTGAGCACACTGTACACTTACACAAACCAAAAAGGCAAGTCTTTACCTTACTATAATTTAAACATCAGATAAGCAACAGAAAGAAGAGATACAGCAATAAACACGAAGAGGGATGCACTAAGAACTGATTAGTAACAGGAATTACGAGAAAGTGGAGATGTGCAAAGAAAGATTAATGTAGCTGCTTGGCTGCAAAGCTTGTTAAAGTACAGAAGGTAAAATGCTGGATGGCACAGAACTGGTAGATGTGAGGTAGCAGGACTGAGGCAAAAGGCAGGGTGAAAATGGGCAGGAATAAGCAGCAGAGTGCAGGCCATAGACTGAGTTCTGAATGATAGAAGGGAAGAATTAAATGGGATGACACAGCAGCAATTAGTAGTCTGTGCTTCAGAATGTGCTACAAAAAGTACTTCAGGGCAATAATGTGGCATAAGCTACTTTCTTACTGGATACTTGTGGTAGTAAGCCCAAAGAAACTGACATTTTTAAAGCCTTGTATAATTTCAGGTATTTTGCCAAATGCTGTAAGATCTTGCAAATAGGAAGGGTGAGAAAGGGACACTGGAGTACTCAGGGGGTGTCAGCCTATCAGTGTGCCAACAATCACATTTATCAACCCCTGGGAAACAGCTCCACTGTAAAAAACTGTAAGAATTAATATGACACGTTCTCATGACTTTTTATGGAAATGTGTAGCATCAAAGGCAAGGCTATCAAAGAAGATTACTTGTATTTTCTGTACTGCTTTCTGAATCCAAGAAAACTCTTTCTCCTGCCTGAAATACTCCAGGCTGCACTTTAGCACTGCCATTCATGAATTAGTGATGCAGCAATTTTATCTACCCTCCACTTAGTAAAGCAGTCCTTCTGCCACATGGCATCAGTATTCACAACCCACATTATCTCAGAAAACACTGTGTTAAGAAGTTCCCCTTTCTATCTCTTCCTTTCTTCTCACTTACTGAGTTCTCTATGCTGGTACTGTATCTCAGAAACTATTAAAATCAATGATTATGATTAAAATTATGATGCTGGAGCAGAGAACACAGTGATGGTGGGGGGAGGTTCTTGTACATAACTTTCCCTCCCCAGGAAACCATTAACAGTCTGAAACCCACCTTGATTTCCATACACAGGTGTAAGCACAAGTGCTTTCAATTTGGAAAGAATTCTTTCCTAGCCCAGGACTCCTTCAAATCAATGTTCTGCTATTTTCCTGTGACAGATATATGGGACTCTTCATCTGCTAAACTTTAAACATCCACAAAGTGTTGGCAGACCTGGGTCCTGTGTTTGGAAATACTAGAGGGATAAATGCTAAAGCAAACTTAATGTTTCCCATTATATGGGTCATTACACTAAAGCTTAAAGAGCTTTTAGGTAGCTGCTCTACCTCAATGCACTGGCTTGCCTTTCAAAAATGCACAAAAGCATATTTCCTCTTGATATTTGAGTGTGAGAAATGAAGTAACTTATTAAATCTCTACTCTTTAAGCTGCACCACTTCTGCCTTTTTTTTTTTAATAGAAGTAGATAATTACAGTAGATATATCTCTCACTCATTCTTTAAAAAGAAATTCCCAAAAACTAATCAGTAAAATTACCCAGAAAGTATATAGGTAAGACCAAGACATTCTGACATCCACACCTTTAGTCCTTACTCACTTTTTATTGCTTTAATTTACTTTAGCCCCAAACACATCCAGATTATTAAAGCTGAGCCAGCTCAAAACCATGCATACATGGTCTAACAACCTCACAGTCAAAATCCATTTTGAAGCTATATTAAAATCCATTTGCCAATATCAGTAAATGGAAAATTCTTTTCTTCAACTTGCCTGTGGTGGGAATTATAAAACCTTATGCTTGAATTTGTACCTTGGATGCTCTGGCATCAACACCTAAGTAATGAAATATTTCATTAAGCCAGTTTGTAATCCAAAAGAAAATACAGACTTCATAGAAGGAAGAGCAAATTCATTTAAATGCCAGTGAAGCTACTAGGGAAAAAATGCTAAGGAATTTGTCAGTGTCTGTGTTCCTAGCTACCAGATCTGGTTTAAATTTCTGATGGAGTAGTCTTCCACCAGAAAATGCTGAATTGGTGAAAAAATGATGTTTCTCAGAAATGTTGACTTAATCAACTTTTAATGAAAAAATTTCAGAAACCCTTAGCACTGGAATTAAAGCATTTTACTCAAAGAAAGTGATTCAACTTTTATTGAAATAAAATGGAAGAACTGTTTATTAGAAAACTAAACTCTGTATTCTGTTTGACATTGCAAGCATGTAATCTACAAACCAACTGCTTTTTACAGCAGTCAATTATTGAAACTTTAACACAGCAACAAAAAAAATCCACCAAAACCCAGCTGAAAACAAGCCCAAATATATTTCCATTCAGCCACAGCAATGACACAGGAATATCATGGCACACAGCTTTTAGGAGACAGGCCCCTACAGCAAACCTGAACCACGAGAGATTACAAAATTCTTATCAATCGTCCCTTTCCCTTTGCTATACTACACCTTGTACATCTCCTGAAACATTTTTCTTCATTACTGAAATACAAAACCTCATGCTTCCTGAGCTCAAGCAGATATGAAGGATAATATTACATAAAATTCATTGTATTAGAGAAAATTCACTGTATTTAAGAGGAAGTGAGGGGTGTGCAAGCTTTAAATATTCAACTGAAATAGCAGCTCTGGTTTAAACTTATGAAACTTATGAAATGGAATGGTGTCAACTAACAGACTCTAATTTTCTAGAGAATTATGAATCTTGAACTTGGATTTTTCCCCCTTACTACTGTTTTTCTGGATTAAAGAAAACAGAGAGAGTAATTAATTTTGATATTCAAAACAATTCGCACTTGCTTGTGACAGGCTGATGCATTAGACAAAATAGAATTGGCTCAAGCCTCTATTCTTGAAGGGTCAGAAGGCTGAAATCTACTGGCATCCCATCCTTCTGCAGAGAAAAAAGTGAGAGTCTGTGAAACATGCCATAATTGAAAGGAAAAAAGTTTGTGCTCCCAGTTAAAAACTGTGAAGTGAACCCTCATTTTGTGGTTGCAGCTACAGATCACTAAAACTCCTACCGTTTTTGGAAACATGCCCAAGTGTAACAGTACAGAGAGTCACAGCTCAATTATGCCACTGTGTCTGAATCCAGTAAGTTAGTTAAATTAATTAAAATACACTCTGGTGAATACCTGTCACATCTGCTCCTGATTACTCTTATTAAGCCCAAAAAGGCAAGGAAAAAGCATTTATTCTCTCTACAAACACACTCTCTGAAGTTTTCAGCAGTATCAAAGAAGAGCTATCTTCCTCAATATTCAAAATTGTTCTTCAGTAAATGGGTAGCCAACTAAACTGCAGAGATTTAATGATGGGACTCAAGAGAGTTTGGGTGGCTGACAACTCCCCCTTGAACACCAAACACACCAACTTTTAATCCTGTGCTATGTACAGATCAAAGGAATAAAACTGCTTGTCTCAATGCTTTAGCATCTGCCTAAAGGACAGCCCACTCCTCCATGGCCTCCTTCTTCTGCACTCAACAACCTGCTCTGAGCAGAGCTGTGTCCCACTTCCACAAAACCTTGTGTTTCACAAAGTCAATGTGCAGGTGCAGAGTGTTTTTGTGCAACACACAATACACAGACAGTGAAAGGTTAATCTGGAAGCCTCCAAGAGCTTCTTTCTTACTAACAGGTAAAGGGAGAGAGGGTGGGCAAAGCATCTGAGACATCCCAGCATGGGAAGGTGCACAACAGATGGTGCTGACACACACCCCTGCCATATGCCAGACCCTCCCTTCCAGATGAAGTTTTCATAGAAGTAAAAAGGACAGACCTTCCTGTATGGCAGGTACAGGAATGCCAGCTGCCCCAGGATGTAAACAAATTCATCTGCCTTGGCCCCTCTAAAGCTGTCAATACAGTGGCAGATCCTATGGCAGAGACCAATTTTTTCCAGGAGGAGAATGGGGAGTTTCATAAAACACTAATGAAAACTTACTCAGCATCTAACTTGTCACAAATTCAGATTTTTTGGTAAGTATCTTACAAGGAGTGATAGGTTCTAATGTTCTCAGAGATCACCCACCTCTCCTAAGCATACATGGAGTTTAGTTTCTTTAATCCTGCAATAAACCAACAGGACTTTCACCTGCTCTGTAGAAGTGCATGCTGTCTTCTACATCCTGAAACAAAGATGTTTTGTTAAACTAGAAAATCAATTGAAAAATCAACATTAGTGCCCAATCTTTGACCAGTTAAACCAAAAGAAAGAAAGATATCTTAATCCACAGGGATATCTTCTCAAAAACACCATGCAGAAATTAGATGTGATCAGTAAAACACTACAGAAATGTCACTACACTGAAGGTGCAAGACTGTGGAAAGCATGAAGGTTTTCCATTCTGACAAAAAAAAAAAAAAAAAAGAATTCACAGGCTTACTGGCTTGCCACAAATCTCAGAGGATGGCTCTAGTTCTACT